TGAGTGTGACAGATCGTACCACTAATGATCAATTAATCTGTTTTTATTTCTTCTAGCCACAGATGATAAGAAAAGCGGGTTATCCCGCGGAGACTCACGTTATACAGACGGAGGATGGTTATCTCTTAACACTTCATCGTATCCCAGGTAACAAGGATCAACCACCCGTGTTGTTGCAGCATTGTTTGTTGTGCAGCTCCGCTGCCTGGATCATTGCCGGCAAGGATAAAGGACTTGGTAACAGCTTAATCAATTTTAAAAAATCGTCGATTATTCTTTTTATCGATAAACCTAAATTCTAACGAAAATATTATCGTAAATAAAATTGATTGTCAATTCGATGATGATGTTACAAGCATCTTAACTGCAGTAAAGAACTTATTGCGAAAAATATTACTTCAGCCAGGATTCGAATCAGGAACCTCCCGATTCTATCAAAGCTAGAGAGGTGTTTTACTTAATTGCTTACTTAGTATATCAAATAAATTTTGACTCTTTCTCCCCTTATTATATTTGTTGTATACTTCAAACAATATTTTCCTTTTTATGCTAGCTTTCATATTGGCCGATCAAGGATACGACGTTTGGCTAGGCAATTTTCGTGGAAATGTCTATTCGAGGGCGCATGTTTCCTTATCTCCATCGGATTCAAAGTTTTGGAACTTCAGGTATTTATATCTGATATAAATTGATATAATAACAGTGCGATAAAAGTGACATAGTTTTAACAATAATACATATGATTTAATTTGTAGTAAAAAAATAAAAACAGTTGATTAATTTCATACTATTATAGAAGTACACTTCGTTGTATGTATTTTGTGATGTATATTGATCGAAATTTTCGTCAGCTTTCACGAAATGGGCATTTACGATTTACCCGCGACGATCTCGTATATCACGAATACGACATCGCAACCATTGTATACGTACGTTGGTCATTCGCTGGGTACGGCTGCGTCTTACGTGATGGCAGCGGAACGTCCGGATATTGCTCAAATGGTGCGAACAATAATTAGTTTCGCGCCTTCAGCTTTTCTGAAAAATGCAAAAAGTCCAATACGATTAATCGCTCCTTTTGCGAACGAGATTCAGGTAATATACCGTTGGGAACTAAGTTAATTATTATTATATAGCGATCTAATAATTTAAAACATTCAATAGTCAAATGACTATACATCAGTGTTAATTTACGTTGTCTTATAATTTCATGCTGTATACAAAATGTTATACTTTATGCATATTATTTTTCAAACATTGCTTGTCTTTTGAGTGAGTCTTTATCTTACAATTAGTGAAAATGTTAAGGCATCAATAATCCGTAAGTTACAAATGAATGAAAAACTTTAAGAGAGAAGAGCTAATAAAACTACATTTTTTTCAGTTATTTGGATTGGAATTTACTTTAAAAATTTAATGTTTGTATGTTTCGAAGATGATGTTAAATATCAAAAAACTGTATGTTTTAAAGATGATGTTAAATATTAGAAAGCTTTGCTTAAAAAATTAATATGCAATGCAGTGAGATACTCTATATATGTATTTTATTTATGTAAATAGAATGAAAATTTGTAGCTCACGATTAAACAGAAAAAATCAATTTTCTGTGCAAGTATAAAGTACGGAAGCGGCTTTGTATAAAATTCAGTTTTAGAGAAATTGACTTTAAAAATGAGAAAGTTATCTTCTTCCTCTTTTCATATATTAGATATATATATATACCTATATATATATATATATATATATATCTTTGATTATTATAATTTTAATAAAACATTCTTAACAAATTAAGATTAAAATCAAAGGTCGTTTGTATAAAGCCAGTTAGAATCGTTCAAGAGTGTTTTACAAATATTTATTTATTTTCAAATAAACCATGAAATTACAAATAAATTATATCGCGATTAAGAGATCCGGTGATTATAGAAAACAGCGCACTTCTTCGGCCAGGACGAATTACTACCGCAGAATGATGCAATGGAATTCTTTGCGAAAATCGGCTGCACAACACTTCGCTTTAAGGAAAAGATCTGCGCCAATATAATATTTTTGTTTGTAGGATTCGACGAAGAACAATTCGACTACGTAAGCTTTTCACAAACCGTGATCAAAATGCAACTTTGATCAGCGATTCGAATCTCACGTTTCACACACGATCACACTTCAGATCGGATGTTATACTGCTTAATTCCTAGGATTTGTTACCTACGATTCTGAGTCACTTTCCGGCTGGCAGCTCGACCAAAACGCTAGTGCACTGGTTGCAGGAAAACCATTCGGGTAAATTTTGCCAATTCGATTACGGGCCCGAAAAGAATCAGCTAATCTACAATGCAACGGAACCGCCGGAATACAATTTAGCGAACATCAACGTGCCGATTGGGTTATTCTACGCCGATAACGATTGGTTGGCCGATAGTCGGGTAGGT